AGAAGTTTGCTGTCACTGAGCTCCACACACACACGACTAGTTTTTGAACCACAGGGACCTCTAGTGGAGTCAGACTTCAGAGTCAACACAGCAGATGTGTTTTTTATTTTCAAAGAGAATAGATTGTGTTGGGTTGAAATTACATCCCGGGAATAAAACATGAACTAGAATAATGATGTCGCCATTTGATAATATCAGTGGTTTCAAATTAAAAGGGGGAATTTTGTCTAATCCATTTGCATCAGATGAATTGTGCTTTACTGTGCTGCTTTACCTCGCCAAAATAAATGGAATGGGTTATTTGATTTGTCAGCAAACAATCCGGAACAGGATCACATCATTGATTATAACAGGCCTGTGTATACTACTTGCCACCCAGTGTAAACACGTTAAAACCAGAGCTGGGCACAGCAGCTCCCCCTCACTTCAACACACAGGCACAGAGCGTGGCTGTTTATGATCAGTCAGAAATGTGTGAACTTCCACTCCGAGCTTCAGAACAGGTTTAGCAATGTGTCCTGTTTTCCTCTGGTTATGCAGATCCTTCTGGATAATGATGCTCACTCTCTCACACACACATACACACACACACACTTCCAGAGTCAACATTAAAACTGGGGCTGCTTGAAGTGTGCGTCTGGGACTATGCGCCGAGTTCGGTTGTGAAGTGGTCGGCACATGCTAATAGGCCAATTATGTACATCCTGTCGTGGCACAGTGCCATTTTAAAGCTCGAGCGCTGCATTAGTGCTGTTGTATTTTGACACTTTGGGGCTCAATTTTCCAAGTGAATGTATTAGTGATGAATGTGCCTGCTTAGGGGCTGTTTGTTTTTTCCACGTTTCGCAAAAGTTTTTCCACGGCACGGCTCTGGGAAGCACGGACTGTTTGAACCACAGGGCATCCATCATTTTGTCACTGTTCTGCACCCGGCCACCTAGGAAATGAAAGAGATCGAGAGAAAGAGAGAGAGAGAGAGAGAGAGGGAGAAGCCGCAGCCAAATTGTGTCACTGCTATATGCCAAAGCCTGCACCTTAAATTGCCCCTCTGTCTGCCCAGTCTCACAAAGCCAGTGACTAGCCCCTTTGAGCACCTCTGTAAATTTGACAGTGACGTGTTTTAGTGCTGATGGGCCAGGGAGGGGCCGAGCGGGTAGTAAATGCTAATGTAATTAACAGCGCTAGGTCCTTGACATCCGCCCTTTGACACCTGACTGATATCGAGGCCTTGCTGGAACACTTGGCTGATGTGACCCCGTCACTGGAGTACCTAAGCCTGCTGGGAAATGAGGCCTGCCCCAACCAGCTGGTCAGCCTGGATAAGGACGAGGACGACTACCAGAGATACAGGTCAGTGGCCACACATGAATAAGGAATAGATGGAACTGGATGGATAATGTTATGGGTGTGTTTACAATTTCAGTCCGACACTTTTGACACTATTGGAAGTGATAGCTTTTTGTAAGTAATGGATTTGGAAATGTTCCCTTCCTTTTTTTTTTTTAACATCCAGACCCCTGTATTTCACAAGCAGGCTGTGGATTCAACCACATCACTCTAAAAGCTTTGTCAACCGGCTCCTCTACACTCTAGTTTGCAAAATGGATTTCATGTGTGACTAGTCACCACCACAAATGAGTGTTTACTACTCTGCCCTGCCCGAGCACATGATGCATTAAACATCAAGCTAAGCCTCAAGCCATGCAATATGACCACCATTTGTCAGGGTCCTTTACATGAAATGCGATAAAAGGCGAAAAAGCATACGCTCTTTTGTCTGTTTTAGCCCTAAGTGCTTGTTTCTGACTCTGTGTTGCTTATTAATCATTTACCAACCTTGCCTTTCTTGAATAATCTTTATTCTCTCTTTTTGTCTTCCTTTCTCCCCCACGCTCCCTCCCTCTCTTCCCCCTCTCCCCCCTTCTTTCCCTCTTCTCGCATGCTTATCTTACTGGTGAGGGGAGCTGTTCTGTTTTGACTGACAGTGTCTACAGTCCTGTAATGTAATATTCATAATGTGTCACATAGTAAAACATCAATTTGAGCGTGATGCAGATTTCATGTCTGACAAGGTTAGGCTGTGTGCAGGTCGTGACAGCACTGGCCTTGGGCAATAAATACCCAGCCCAGTGCCTCGGGAGCTCTCGGCCTCTCAAGTGAAATACCCTGGTGCGTTGCATTGGTGCTCCAATTAGTGCAATGACATAGAAACGTAATTTTTATTCACACAGTATTGTGTAGTCTGCAGGGAGGTTAAATGTTGTCCTGTTCTCAGCTGGGTTTCGCATACACCCAGTGGCCATTTGTGGTACTACAACAACACAATAGTTGTTACTGATTGTGCAGCAGTGTGCTCATAGGACACTGTCTCCTCTAAAAAGTATTTGTTTGAGAATCTCAGATAGGCTGAGACAATGGTTATTACTCAACCTGTGTCTTTTCCTTCTGCCTCTGTGATGTGTAAAGATTAACATATTTTTATTTGACAATTTACCTTCTTATCTAGAGCAAAGTTATCAGTTTGTCCAATCTCCTCGTGTGACAGATCAAAGTGCTTGTGCCTGAGGTCCCTCATCCATCAGCTGCACTCTGTGTTCACTCAACCTTTTTCCTATATGCCATAAATGCAGCTGCATTATAATTACCTTCAGTGACTAAAGCTTTAGTTTTTTTACCTTTTCTTTTCTTTCATGTCCAAGTATAATCAATGATTGGTAACACATTTCATACAATATTCTTAGAAAGGAATAGGTGCCTCAAGCTTTCTACGAAAACAAGTTGCTCTTCGTGATGAATCTCTAAGAAAATTCTTGGAATTATTATG